GGCAGCGACGAGGCAGGGAACTCCAGGCAGCCGCCCGTGTCCGGGTCCGCCGTGCACGCCAGCCCGAAGCGGCGCGCGATGCCCTGGTGCACGCGGTGGCTGGACAGGTCGGGGTCGACCATGAAGACGTGGCAGGAGGTGCGCAGGGCGCCCGCGTCGTCGCCATCGCCGTCGCCGGCCTGCATGGTGACCAGCCCAAAGAAGCGGCGGTCGTCGGGGCACAGGGCGCTGAAGGCCAGCTTCTCGGCGGGGTACTCGGCCAGCACACCGGCGCGGTCACTGCAAAGCCGCACGCCGTCCTGCAGGATCTCCATGGAGACCAGCGAATGGATCCTCTGCTCCGCGCGCAGGCGCCGCAAGCAGCCCCGGATGGCCTGCAGGCTGTCCTGCTCGAGGTTGGAGCTGGTGGACGGCAGCTCGATGGAGCCGAGGTAGCCCACCACCATGGCCACGTTCAGGATGCTCGCGTCCAGCCCCGCCTCGGCCAGCTCCTCCCGGAGGACCTTGGCCACCTCCTCGTGGGAGAGGGCACTGGGACTGGGGCTGGGGTCCGCGTGCGCAGCCGCTGGCTCCGACAGAGGCCGCTGCTTGGCCATCGAGGGCTCTGGGGGTCCGGGGCACAGAGCAGGGCTCTCCAAGATCATGCTGAGAATGCCCCCGGACTGCATCTCTGCGACCACCCGCTCTGCGCGGTTGATGCCCAGCGCCTTTGAGTCCAGCTTGGGCTTCAGCCAGCCCTTGCCCTCCTCGTCGCTGGAGCAGGGCTCCAGGTGGCCAGCGCCCTCGGCCACCACCATGTGCAGGACGCCCGAGCACTTCCCGATCAGCTTGACCACGTCCTCGTGCGAGGCCTTCTTCACGGCGATCTCGTTGACCGCCAGGATCTGGTCTCCGGCCCGCAGGCCCACCAGGTCGGCAGGGCCGCCCCGCATGACGCAGCTGAGCACGCAGGGCGCCTGGCCCGACAGCGTGAAGCCGTAGCCCGCGCGGCCCCGCGCCACCTCCACGCTGCGCGTCCGCCGCCGCCCCCCTGGCTCCCCGTTCCTATGCATCTTGCCACGCCGCCGCAGACTCGATGCCCGGCGGCATGTTGGGTCAGGCCGCAGGGCCCATGCCCAGCGAGTGCGGTGCTGCCCTAGGGAGGAAGGGGGACGGGCTCGTGGTCAGTGAGTCCCCGTGGCTGGTCGACCCGGCCCGCTTGCAGGTGCGCCCTTGAAAGCCAAGGTTGCCGCAGGTCGTGGGAAAACGCTACAGCCGGCCCCAGCCCCACCTCCACCCCCACCCCCTGTCTCCCAAGACCCTCACAGGGAAGCACCTCAGTGACCACAGGTCCTGAGAGCCCAGAGCCCTGACCTCAAGGCTTTCTGACATTGCCCCCACCTATCTGAGGGGAGGAGGCAGCCTGGGAGGTCCTGACACTAGACCCTTGGGGTGCAGGGAGACGGACCCAATAGCAGGCAAACCCAGCCTCTCTGCTGATCACAAGCCCCCACCCCACCCCCACCCATCAGAACAGATGCAGGAAAAGGAGTCCCCACATGACCTCCTCTTCTGCAGCCCTGCCTCAACCAATCCACATGGGACATCTGAGACCACCTCCATCGACCCCCATGGGCACCCCACACACAGCTCAGCTGGAGCCACCCAGGCCAGCCACCCCCGCCCCCTACTGCTTCACCCACCGTGAGTTATCCAGGGCCGGCTTCACGGACTGGCAGCGGTGTGGCTGTTACAGGGAAGAAGTCTGTGTCTGTCCCGAGTCAGGTCCAGGCTCGATGCTACATGACCAAAAACCAGAGGAGCTGTGGAGGACATCACCCATGATGAAACCAAACGGTCACTTAAAAGACGGGAAGGAAAGAGAGACCTACTGTCAGTGGGCCGAGTTCCACTGGGGCGTTCATCAACAGAACTAAGGGGCTTTGGGACATTTGCTGGAGCTGCACAGAGGCCGTGGGACCAGAGGAGGCACCACTGACAGGAGGAGCTGCATCCCTAGCCTCTCTAATCCTGAATTGTGACTGCTAACGTCTCTGAGAAACACTGTAAGTGTGAGTGTTTATGATGGAGCAAATGCAGCTGAGAGGGAAAGTGTCCTGAGTGAAACGGCTGGGGTCAGAGTTGGTGAAGAGGTTGGTGGGTGAAGGCCCGCCTGACCTCCAGCTCCCAGGAATCTGCCTCAGGCTGATGTGGGTGCTGACCCTTCTCCCCTAGAGTCTGAAGAGGTCAGATGTTACCCCCACATCAATTTTATGCTGTACGGCAAGGTGTGTCCCCTCACCATACTTATGCAATCCATATGCTGAGCGTATCACCAGAGACGCTCACTTAGGTGAAGAATGAGGCGTCCGGATGGAGCGAGGCTGGCGAACCACCTGCGGTGTGCAGAGGACAGCCTTGTTTGCGGATGGGGGAGGACCTGAAGCCCTCGCTGATGAAGAGCAAGGACTGCAGCCTTCAGTGTGGA